ATCCCCCCCATACACCCACACCCTCCCCCACACCACACACACCCACAGCCCCCCACAAACTTATACAACCCCCATTCCCCCCCGCAAAATACAAGAGTAAGACTTAATTTTAAGCTATTGTGCAATCACCTCTGTGTACACTGCACAAGCACATGTAAATCAGGTCAAAAATATTTTTTGAAATCAAACTAATGAATGTTGTAGATGTCTGCTTTTTAGAATATAATTTGGTATTTTTCTGATTGGCGAAAGCCAAGATGGCAAAACCTCTTGCTGAAAGGAGTACTTCCAGGGCCAAGGGGAGGGACATATGGTGACAAAGGTCAAGGGTTACAGGGTGGAACTTACAGCCCCAAGATGGTGACCAGGGGATGGGGCACCAGTCAAGGGGCGGGGCTACCCATGTGGCTCTCAACAGCTTGCCAAAACTCAGTAAGTGGCCCTCCAGCCAAAATAATTGCCTGCGCCTGTTAGGTACACACCCAGGGAAAACAGGTCATTCTGTACATCCTCATTCTGACTGTTTCTGGATGCTTACTTGGGAGAATTTAGCAGAGATCACTTAATGTAGCCCTGCTAAGACAATGGTCTTCTTTTAAATTGAATTCAGACCCCTTGCTGCCTGGGGCTCACTCGGGCCCCACTCGGCACATCCAGATGAGCAGGAACGTGTGCTTTGCAGCACCTCAAAGGCTTTTGAGACACCACAAAATGCATGCAGCACACGTGAGAAAGTTCTATGTGCTGCATATTTGCAGCATTGAGACAAAATTAAATACTGGGAAATCCCAGTATTTTTTAAAAACTTCAAAAAAGAGCAGGGCCATACATGTGGCTGCAGCATGCACCACCCGAGACTGGTATCTGGCCAGACAGAGCCATGCTCTAGCTGCCAGACAGGCTCCGTGCACCTAGATCGCTGCCACTGCAGCCCCAGCAGGCCCCCAGGCCCCCAAGTAAGTCTTCCGGGTCCAGCCCAGGTGCTGGCCCCAGCCTCCCCTACCCCACCCAAGGCAGTTTGCCACATGCCAGAGCATGCATTCAGGGGCATTCCCTGGGGACAAGTAGCAGCATCACAACTATGTGCCACTGTTGTTTGTCCCTGGGGAAACGTATGTGTGTGCTCGTGGGAATGTGCCCACTGTGTGCAGCTCAGTTTTTTCTCTGTAGGCACTTCAGTTTTCTCCTGTTGCATGCAGTTCAACCTCTCCCTGGTGCACATGGCTCAGTCTCTCTGCTGCAGTTGTCTCAGCCTCTTTCTACTGTGTGGCTCAGACTTTTCCCATGAGGCAAGACTCAGTCCCACCCCAGTGCACAGAGTTTAGTCTCTCCATTGCATGATGCTCAGTCTGTCCCCACTGGTGTGTCCAAGTTTCTTTTTGCTACATGCAGCTCTGTGTGTCCCTGCTGGAAGTAAGTCCCAGTCTTGCCTTTACTAGCCCTTTTGTCTTTTTTTTCCTAGGTCTGCTGGAGGGCATCAATATCACCAGCCCAGTCCTGCTGATCCATGGTGCAGTTGGCAAACCTGCCCTGCTCTCCGTTAAATATACTAGCACCAGCTCTGACAAACCAGTGGTCAAATGGCAGTTGAAGCGAGACAAGGCAGTCACTGTAGTGCAGTCTATTGGCACAGAGATCATCGGCAACCTGCGGCCTGGCTACAAGGACCGGATTAAAATCTTTGAGAATGGTTCTCTGCTGATCAGTCAACTGCAGTTGTCAGATGAGGGCACCTACGAGGTGGAGATCTCTATCACAGATGACACCTTCACAGGGGAGAAGACCATTAACCTCACAGTGGACAGTAAGTGCAGGGCTGTTGGCCTAAAAAATTAACACAGCTGCCTTCCTCAGTGTGGATATCCTTGGAGGCTATGTATGCTTCTCTTTATAGCTGTGCCTTTAAAAGATTGCTCTAGATTAGGTGTCTGTGTCAGCCAGCATGGTGCTGCAGTAAGGTGTTTGCATCATTGTTGCCTAAACTTAATGTTAGAATCTAGGTCCTGGCACTGAAGTCATGAAAATGGCTTGGACAAGACTAGACCATTCTCTGAAGAGAGCTTTTATGGATTACAGCAATTTACAATTTTAAGCATAAGGCAAAGAAACAACAGAAATCTTTGCCTAAATTAAGACAACAGAAATCTTTGCCTAAATTAAGACACAACAGAAATTTTGCATACGTTTTATATAGTCCTGAGGGCAGAGTGCCTCCCTGCAACTAGTCAGGCATTCAGTAGTCTCTGGGGCCCACAGTTCTTCTTGGCAGATGGGGTGGAGATCCCTAGTTATCGTTTTTGTTTGCTCTTTTGCGTGTGCTCTGCTCTTCCCCCTTGGTTGCCTTGACAATGTCACATCTTTTGCCCCTCTCAGAATGTCTTTCTGACCTAGTTTTCATCCCTCTCAGTCTGTTTATCTGTTGGTTCTATAGTGTCCCTGGTTTTCCCATGTTTTGTCATTTTTATGGTATGGATGGTACTTCTTACAGAGTGCCCACTTAAGCAGTTTGAAAGCTAATCTGTTGCAGTCCCTTGCTTCCTTAGATTGCATAAGTCATCAAATCAACATTTTTTTCCCCATTGGCTATAGAATTAAAGGGCCCAAAACTGTTACAACTGTGCCATGCCATTTGCCAACACCTTTTGGTTGGAGTGCTAGGGGCAAAAATTAATTTTAAGTTGGGGCATGATAATTATATTAATAGGACTACATGATAATAGGGATTGAACTGACAACCTGGTAGCTGCCTTGCAGTCCTGTTTATACTTTGCACTTCCCTTGTCAGATTTTCCATTTATTGCAGATATTTGTTCAGAAATAAGGGCTCACTGACTGCTATAATTAAGGTTCATGGAGATAACATATCATTTCCTGTTTTTTTTTTTTTTTTTTGGAGTGCTAACTCTTCAGTTTTCAACATGAATGCAGACAAATCAGTCAAAGCCAATTGGAAAGCCTCAGTCCAAATGAAAATGATGGCCTTGGGTACCAGCTAAATCTTCATGTAGGTTGCAAGAGAAGGTCAGAACATGGCAGACATGGTGGGTTTAATTCTGATTCTCCCAGTGGATGTCTAATGGGTAGATGTTAACAAGGTCCTAATGTAGAGACCCAGAATTAGAGGTGCACTTTACTTCTGTAGAGAGGCATGGGTCAGAATTCTAAAACCCCAGGTAGTGGTGCATAAGTGCCAGTTATACATCTGTCAGGTATTCAGGTTGTAGCCATATTGCTCTAGAGGAAAAAGCAATCAGAATTCGTGGTGGAGGTGATATCTTTTATTAAACCAACAAGTTTTTTGCAAAAAAACATTCTTTAATTGCAAGCTTTCGGGCACAAACACCCTTTATCAGGCACGAGAGAAAAGATTGTAAAAGTTCTCCTGGGTAGAAGTGAAAGTTCATATTTTGTAGGATTTCACAGAGAAATCAGTAGATGGGAAGCTCCTCTGGGAAGGCAGTTCTTAGCTGGTGAAAAGTTTCTCAGGTCTTCTGTGAGGTTTTGTTATGATGCAAATTACCTTGAACCAAGGCAGGAGCAGTATCTCAGGTGTCAGATGGTCACGGCTGCTTCCTGCTTGGGAAAATATGAAGATTTCATTTTGAAAAGCAGCTAAAATCTGATTGCTAAACAAAAATCTTGTTGGTCTAATAAAAGATATCACCTCTACCACAAGTTATACATCTGTGCATCTAAATGCAGTTCTAATTCCCTTTTCCCCCCAAACTGAATTGCAGTTATGGAGGAACTGAATTGCAGGTAAGAAGGAAATAACTTCATCTCCATAAATTAAGCTGCAGCACTGGAGGGCAGAGCAAAGTGAACCAAAACAGGCTGAGTACTAACCCCATGGAAAGGTGAAGGTCACATGACTGATATGTTGTGGGTTCAGCAACAACACTCTGGACACTGCTGTGTTGAACTAACTGTTATTTATTATTATAACTCTCTGGAATCACATGCAGATGGATCTTAACAGTTGTATCAGTATATGTATGCAGATCTTATACTTGCTCTGCCTCTAACTTGACCCAGTCCAGTCCTGTGGAGGGAGAATGCCTCTGGGTCCTCAAGGCAGAGCACATGGAGTCCCCAGAGCTGCAAAACTGCCACAAAGCAACTGAACCCTGCAGTGCTGAGCATGGGGGCTTTAGCCTTAAAGGGGCAGTGCAAAGAAAACACAATAAGACACAACACCCCTTCCCCCTAGACAGAATAGTTGCCAACCATTTGGGAGGGCTCTGCTTCCGCTGTGGTCTTCCCATAGAACTGAACTCAGTGAGGGATTCAGCAGATGATGGCCCTGTCAGTGTATCTGGAGACTCAACAGTGACACTTCCTTCTGACAGAGAAGGCAAAGGGTTTGCATTGGTGGAAACAGGTAGGTACTTCTCCAATGAATCCATGTCTGTTGGCAGTGGATTGGTGCTAGGAGATTGCTCAGGTGTAGGGTTATCAGTAGGAGAACACCCACGCAGCTGGTTCACATGATGTTTCCAAACTTGTCTGTCATCAGTCTGGACTGTATATGATATGGGTCCTGTGTTGCTTACAATTTTAGATTGAACCCACTGTGGGCCTGTCGTGTAGCTCTGAGCAAACACAGTCTATTGTGGAATGAAAAGACGTAAGGTACCAGATGCCAATGCAGAGTCCAACTCCCTTTCTTTCCTAAATTGCATGTCTCTCACAAGGTCTGGGTTAACACGGTCAAGGCATGTCTTGAGACGATGACCCATGAGAAGCTCTGATGGGCTGGACCCTGTTGTAGGGCAAGGAATTACATGTTGAGCAAACAGAAATCTGGCCAGTCTGGTAGGCCAGTCTCCTACAACAGTCCTTTCAGTGTATCTTTTGTAGTCTACGCCATTCACTCAGCTTGCCCATTGGCCTGTGGCCTGTGAGGTGCAACGGTAACAGTTTGAATGAGGCTGCGGCTGGCAAAATCTTGGAACTCTGCTGAGGTGAATGCCCTGCCATTATCAGAAATGATAGTGTTGGGCACCCCGTGGGTTGCAAACAGCTGACGGAGAGCTGTTATAGTGGCAGTTGATGTAAGAGTTGAGACAGTAATCATCTCAAGCCATTTTGAGTACGAGTCAACAACAATTAAGAAATTCTTACCTTGAAAACGGCCAGCAAAATCAGTGTTGATGTATGACCAGGGTTCCTTTGTCATTTCCCAAGAGAATACCAGTGCCTTCAGTGGATTATGACAGATTGCTTGACAAATGCTGCACTCCCTCACAACCCTTTCTATGTCATTGTCCATACCTGGCCACCATACATAACTTCTAGCCAGCACTTTCATCCTCACGATGCATGGGTGTGTTGTGTGCAGCATTGTCAGTATGATTGGCATCCTGCTTCTGGAATTATGACACAATTTCCCCACAAGAGGCAACCCTTGTGGGCAGACAGCTCATGCTGATGTGATGAAAATGGCCTGAATACCTCAGCCAATTTGTCTGTAGGCCAGCCCCTCTCAGTTGAGAACATGGGTCTCAACTGAGGATAGGGTCTTTTGCAGTCATCTTTGCTATCTGATCAGTTTGAAGAGGGGCTTCTGGCATGGATTGCAGCATGAGGACTTCTGCTGGTGGAGGAGTAGCACTATCAGGTATTTGTAGTGATAGGCAGCTCAATGCATCAGCATTTGCAATCATTTTCCTAGGTTTGTACACAAGTGTATAGTCATATACATTTAGCATGATGCTCCGGCATTGCATACAGGGAGACAAAATAGGAATTGGTTTGTTCGTAGTAAAAATTCCAAGAAGGGGGTTGTGGTCCACTTGGATTTCGAATTTGTGGCCATAAACATAATTGTGAAATTTTTTAACTTCTGCAGTGATTGCCAATGCTTCTTTATCAATCTGTGCATAATTCCTCTCAGTTGAAGTCATTGTTCTTGAGTAAAAAGCAATGGGTGCGTCCGTGCCATCAGGCAATGTGTGACTGAGGACAGCACCAACTCCAAACAGCAAGGCATCACAAGTAATAGACAGTGGCTTCTGCTCATCATAGTGAACAAGGACAGAGTCTGATGTCAGCAACTTCTTGACACCCTGGAAGGCTTCGTTGTGCTGGCAAGTCCACTTCCACTGAGCTCTTTTATCCAGTAAGCAATGAAGTTTGGCAAAAACCTTCCCTCCTGAAAGGACAGAGAGTAACTGGTTAATGCCAGGCACTGAGTGCGGGTCCTGCTTACGTGCTTTATTAACAGTGCATTTGTAATCCCTACAGATGTGAACACTGCCATTAGGGTTTAAAACAGGAACAATTGGTGTGGCTCAGCTTGTATGTATGATTGGCTCGAAGGCCCCTTGCGCGATAAGCCAATCTAATTCTGTATCAATTTTTGGCCGCAGCGTGAAAGGTGTATTCCCAGCCTTCATAAAGATGGGGGCTATCGCAGGATCCATTTGGAACATCACAGGTGCACCAGAGTAAATTCCTAATCCCTCAAAATACCTGGGGAAACTCCCTTGCAAGCCCTTCCAGACTTTCTGTGCAGAGATTGTGTACACCTTGAATACTGATTCCCAATGGTGAGAACCAATTTGTCCCCAGAAGACTTTTGTGGAAGCCCTTAGTGACAATGAGGGGTAAATGCTGTCTTAACAGTTCCATACTGGACATCGACACTGCAGCTACCCAAAGTTTCCACAATCTGTCCATTGTAGTCACACAGGTGACACTCAGGTTTCACTAGCTTGGGGAGAGGGTGCCGAAACAACTGGAAGAATGTGATTTCATCTATGAGGGATACTTCTGAACCTGAGTCCACTTCCATTTTGCAAT